ATGCATTAGATACATTTTCCTTGCAATACCTACTATAAAATGGCCGCTATCCAAGATGACCATGCTCATTTACTCGTAATATGAAGCTGTGAAGGTTTCATTAATCCTACTTTTCCGGACAGAACATCAGAAGTGATAAAAGGACGTTTTGTACGAAAACGACATATTTCAGAAGTGAACCTCCAGAATATTGTGCTACGATCCTTTCTTCGGAAAATGTTTTCGGAATTCCTTTCTTCGCGAACACGTTTCACAGCTCACGCTTTTACCTGCTTGCAAGGTATTGATAGAAATCCGGCCATTCAAGGGTTGCAATCTATCCGGGCGGGTGTTAACGCGCGATACGTACGTACAGCACATCAATCACCTGTGTGTTCAAAGCTGCGTGTGCGTGTGTGATTGCTCTCGCCCGTCGAGCCACGGCACGGTTGGAGACCGTTCAGTGTGGTCAGCACCGGCCCTGCCCGGGTCGTTTTCCTGATGGAACTGGCAACAAACCGGGCTCGCTAGAAGACGCCGACTTCTGGCCCATTGTTCCTGGCGGCTGTCGAGACGACATATTGATCTTTGGACGGTAATGTACGGACTACAACGTGCTCGGCATGCCTGGCGCTCGCTCAGCTCTGGAAGGTGGACGTGGCCGGCGGACCGCCTGGCACTCCGCGCCCGGCAGCTCGCAGCTCAAAACCGGGCCGAGATCGACCGATGGCTGGTCTGACCAGACCCACAGACCAGCCTGAATGGTCTAACAGAGAAGCAGACCATCTGGCTAATCTCATAGATCGTCTGGTTGATCATGCAGACCGCTCGGCGCTCTGGCTGATTTGGCTGACCAAAAGACGGCCTTGGCTGGTCACCCTGGCCTGACTATACAATTTTTCAATAGTTGGTCTGACTGATCTCTAATTCACCCTGACCCTACACCGACTGACCGACCTGAGTGATAGTTCTGACCGACATGACGGTCCGAGCTGGCCGAACCGACCGATCGTTCCCGACCGGTGTTTTTCGGACCGGCGGCAGCGGCTCGGCGCCGGAGGCTCGTGGTGCGCCGCCCCCTTCGAGCCGCCGCTATCGACCAAACCAGACCCGTACGCGCCACTGTTATACGGCCGCCTCCGTCCTCCGAAAATGCACCCTTTGATGTGGTGCTGTGTTTGTGCGAAGTTGATATTACCAATATAAACATAGGTCACGCAGGGCGCGGAGTCGGACGATACCGGCAGTCTGCTGCCGGGTCGGGTCGGCCCGAGGATCCGTTCTGCCTGATCGTAACCGTCGGCCGGGCGGCCCCGATCTCAAACAGGGTCTGTTTGCAGCCTCCATCGATCAGGACAACAAACACCAGCGCCCCAGTGCCGGACGGGCGGATCCGTCACTCCAGATTGGTGGATGGCCCATCAAATAACACGGAATTAAGACAGAATAAACGTATCGACAGTAAAATTACATTTTGCCAAACAAAACTGATTTTGGGAAATGTCCCACATTAGCATAAGTTGGGAGTAAAAGACTGTTGAGTGCTTCAAAAGATGTGATTGGATAGAGATGCGCTCATAACCCAACCACGTTCAGGAAGCGTCTCACATCCTGCTCTGTTCTTCCCCCGGTTGGGAAAGACCGGATCTATGAAAGGTTTCAGAGTCAAACATCAGTCTCATAACCGGACACAGCCTACAGCCAGCCCAGACAGCTTAATTCTGTCTGTAATTCGATCATTCCCATTGAGTCTAATGCCAAAGGTGCACGAGCCGGGCAGTCACTACTCGCTGGTGCGGTGATCTGGCGTCTGCCAAGTGGCTGAAGTGATGCTGATGGTTCTCTGGTTACCAATTATAGGGATGTGATGCTAGAAGCTGTGATTGCTGAACCGCATCGCAGCGGCAAACATAACAATGCCAACAAATTGAAGGTATTTGATCAATGCCTTTTTTTGTTCCGTTTTTGTTCGTAAATTATCAATATACCTATGCATAGCTGTGGTAAAAATGAGAGCACGCATTTAACATTTCGTGAATTTTGGCATAAACACTAAGAAGAAAAAAATCATGCTACCAAGAGACTTTTTCGCGCTGCACGGACTGCATAAAAGCGAGCGTTGACGGAGTCGGCGGCAGAACTATGGTGCATTTGTGTGGGCGCGGCGCTCTGTGGGTCCACTCGAGCCATTGGCGGCCTGCCGGGCTGAATGGCGGCGATTAGGGACCGATTGAGGCTGCAGCGGCGGGCCGGGCCGAGCGCCGGCACTGAATAGCGGCCACCATCAGCCGGCGCCACTCCACACACGTCGACAGTGAACGGGGCGACGGGCCGAGATCAGAGGAGGGAGCCGGGGCCGCGGCGGAGCTCGAGGAGGACCGCCGCGGGATAGGGCTGAGAGGGACAGAGGGCAATAGATCTAAGGGAGTCGAGAGGCGTGATGAGATAGATCAGAGGACGGAAACCACAACAGGATTAGTCAAAAGGGAGACACAGCGCGATAAGTCATAACTCATAAGGGAGGAAGCCAGGGCAGGATAAGTGAAAAGGGAAGCGATTTACAGCTGGATAGAACAAAAGGGCCACAAGAGGATAGTAGCGACGCTTTGGGGAAGGATAGCCGGCAGGCTCACATGATGGTCGTGATGCTTTGGATTGGAACAGCAGCGTAACACAAGTGAGAGGCAGGAGGAAATCGGGAACAGGACGCTATACCTGCCGCCACAACCTCTTTGTCCGTATAGCCTTAAGGCTGAAACAGACTCTTTCCGCGTTCAGGAAATCGCATGCGAGAGCCTATTCAAATACATTAGTTTCCTCTCGCATCGATCGCACGCATCTCTCGCACTACCCGCATCAAGAAATCGTATCTCCCTGACAGTCTTCCCGCGTCGTCCTGACGCCTCGCTCGCATCGCCCACATCACCCGCAAGCATCGCCCGCACCTCTCGCTCGCATCGCCCGCAGCGACATCTTTTCGGGATGCGAGAGAGTTGAAGTTCAGTCAACTTTTCCGTGCGGGCGATGCGATTTTGCAGAGGGCAGCACGTCCGCCATCTTGGAATGTAAACAAACTTGACCTTGGCAATTTACATTGGTGGATGCGATTGATGCTAGTGCGTATTTTCCATGTCTTAGGGTCTAATTAGCACTTAATTGGGCATAGGTTAATGCTATTTTCTAAAGACATTCGTAATTCTATAAATTTAGCCGTTATTCGTGCGTCAACATCTGCAAAATGATTGAAAGAAGATCTGCCTGACGGAATCAAGTACCAGCTACCTACCTCCTCAACCTAGCCAAAAGTAGGTAAGTACCAAAGTAACCCTAGCTATTGATTATCTTCGTGATTAATAAAGATAATAATTACTTGATATTTTTGATTGCAGGATGAAGTTTCCGTTGTTTTTAGCTACACTAAACTTCAGGAAAATCGCTAGTGCTAACCGTTGCTGGCCTACTTGAAATAGATAAAAAACACCTTCTAGAAAGGGGTTTGCATAGCCTTTGCTGCCTTTTCCGATAAATTCCGCCAAAATGATAATTGAATTGGTCTCAAATTAAGCCATGATTGCACATTAAAGAGCTCTCTTAGTCTCTTGAATCAAAGGCAGGAAACTCATTTCATGTAGGAAGATACGGAGACAATTGACATGAAAACTGGGCTTCTGTCAAAAGAATGGGACGGGTGCTGAATCTATACCTATTCTATGTCCATCTTCCACCTGCTCCTTCTGGCTTCTTCCCATCCCCTTCTTTCCAAGGTCAGCACCATTTCTTTGTTTTTCTGTCCCCTCTTTCCTCTTTTTGTTTTTTTTTCTCTGATAGCCATAACAATATTTTGTTTCTTAATCTCATAAGTTTATGAGTTATTAATACGATTTTTCAGAACGAACATTGTTTCTATTACCGACAAACCTTTCAGATCATGCTGATTGCTGCCTATACTCAAACGCACTTTACCGTGAATGCCATTTCATTGGCGAGTGACCAAACTTTGCTTGATTGGGCAATCGTCTATACTGTCTAGCTAGGTACTTATTCGTGATCTTATCAACCTGTGGGGTTCCATTGTTCCAGCACGTTCCAGCACTCGGATCAGCCCACAACTGCTGTCCACAACAGTCCGACTGTCACCACACCGCCAGTTCCGGACGAGTCGGTGGACGGTGGTGACTGCCCAGTGCCCACGACCCACGTTACTCAGGGACTAACGAGTAGAGAAGCATCCTGGAATCGAAGGGAGGGGCAGTATTCCGCTGGCGATGCTTCTGCGACTGACCCCACGGGGAACGACCAGACTACCTTGACAACCGTCAACGCAGACAACGCGAACATCACGTCTACTAGACGCACCTCCTTCATCCAAGCAAACATCACTGCAGCCTAGCAGCAGCCGTTAACCCGCGCCGAGCCGGTGCTCGGCGCCAACCGCGCCGTGCCCGGGGATCTGTGGACACCCGCCCTTTCTAGCTCGGCTCTTGGGTAGCATAGGGAAATATGGTTAGTGGCTTTCAAAGGAGCGTCCAAAGCCAAGACGATAACATATCGGTCATTTTTTAAAGTCCAGTCGAAGTTCAGGTCACCAGAGGTTATCAAAGGTAAAATGTTGCATATTTCGACATTTTCGAAACACCGGTGCAAAACTTGGGAACCAAGAGAACTCAAAATTTTCAGAAATGTTGCGTAAAAGCCTTTTAGGAAAAGTCAGAAAATTTGAGCTTCCTAGCTCAAAGCGTTTGGGAGAAATAACCAAAAAAAAAAAACTCAGGGGGGGGGCTCCTGAGGCCCCCCCGCCAGGAATAGGGTTAACCTAAAAATTGACTGCAATGACTTCGTCATGATTTTTGACGTTATTTGGAATGCCACTTACCGCTTCGTGGGCCAGGAATCAAGTAAGACGGGTCATGTTCGGTCCCCCAGGGCCCGGCGCTATTGGTGCCGAGCAACGGCCCGGCGCAAGATGTCATATCTTGTAGAACAATGCGGTTGAATTTGGACTACAATAAACCGACACATAGTACGATATACGTTTGTAGTTTGCCGTCAAAAGGTGAGGCCTCTGTCTTAAACTCAGGGCAGAGCTTTCAAGGCTGGAGGGAAATACTTAAGCCGTTTGACGTGCGTAATTGATTTATCCAGCTGAGATGCATCGACAGAAGGACGGCTTGACCCCTGCATGACAATTTATGGTCGTGCAGTTACTCGACATACCTACATATTAGCATTAGCTATTGTTCGACATATTTTAATATTCGCTGATCATTCAAACTTGTTGAAAAAACGTGACGTGCTGGATGGCTGGAGGAGCTTATCCTACCAAGTACCATTTTATGTAGAATATTACAGTACTACGACCATTTGATCTTTGACTAGACTGCAAGAGGTAACCGGATGTCATAAGATATTGGTGCCTGCCGCTTTATCTCATGATAATGCTGAGCGCACACGGTATTTTTTTTCTCACGAAACTCTCGTTCAGTTGTGAGTGAAGCGTTGAGGGGTGCTGCTCAACTCTACCGCCTTGTATTTGGAAAACCAGTTAGGCTGGCGAGGGACACCTTACCCACTGCCATAGCTTTCCATCACTTATTCTCAATTTTTAGACATAAGTAACAACTAACAAGTGTCCGTAGTCATCGAATAATAAACATGAGAACATTGCATGAAAACAAATTTTCACACAAATTTAGATACCTACTTGTACTTCTTCTACATCGATACCTTGAGTTCCCTCTCGCACGGGCAGTGCGATCGATGCGAGAAGTCGATGCGAGAACTGCGGGTGATGCGGACGAGCGAGTCGTGCGAGAAGTGCTTGCGGGACATACGATTTTCAGATCCGAGTCGTGCGAGCGATGCGAGCGAGCGATTGATGCGGAAAGAGTCTGTTTCAGCCTTTATGGGCTGGCAGTGACATGAAGGTCATTAAGAACGCTAGGTCGTCGCTGCCTTACAACGTCACTATGTATGTGTCGACATTAGCCAGTGTAGCTAATGTGCTTAATGGATGTCAATGGCGGTGACCTTGATTTACTCGTCAATAGTCATTAGTCATAGTCAATGGCTGGCCGAGTCAACCAATGGCTAGGTTCTATCAGGCACACCTTCTGGGGCTGATTTCATATGGATGTGGGTTAGGTGCATTTTCGTTTCTTCACTTCATTTTCCCCTCCTGACACGGTGACACGTTTAACTTATTGTGATGAAATAACACATACCTAACGTAGATACACGAAGTTGACAAAGATAAACATGAAAATGGAGCCCGAGGTTAAGTCTGCTTCAGGCAACTCATTCAGCTCCGATTTGCATAATCCTGGCAAATGCTGGGACAGTTGTTTATATAAGCACACTATTGGTGTTTTGTTATGTGGCTGACTGCTGCGGCCGTATCAGCAAACTGTGCTTTCTAGCATTAGCAAATGGACGAGCCACTGCGAGGGCCGGAAAAGTGGCAGGCTTGACCGAACTTGTGCTTTCAACTCGGTGCGACCGCTACCTGACTTCGAGTTTTTCCAAGAGAAGTGACCATTATGCTTACTTTGTTGATGGATGTTTTGCTGGACTGATATGGTGTGTAATGCAGCAGGCAGCCGTGGCAGTATGGCAGGATTGAGTGCTGTGGCACCTTTGAGTGCTGGGTACGGCCCTGGCTGTTGTACCGGTTCCCCGTCCCCGTATATGCGATTGATGACCAGCTGTCCGCTGTAGCTGACAGCCTTGGAATGGGAGCTCGTGCAGAACCGCTAAACGCACGATGTCCATGTTATCTATGACTTGAGTCATGCATGATTCTTTGGGCTTTGTAGTTTGCCAACACATCTAGAAGCGCAGGTCGCGGTACAACGTGCAGCGAGGTTGCAAGGTTGCGGCGAGGTTGAAATGGCTGCCCAAAATGGAGCCTGAGCTTTGTCTCCGGCTGGGCGCTCTGTGAAGAGCATTAGCACAATGAGGTGCCAGTGTGCTCGTTAACTGCTGAAAGTCCTCAGCAGGTTTTGTGCTGTGCCAGCTATAACTCATTTAGGTCCAACTGTAAACATCAAAGAACTTTCAACATGTTGACTGGATCTGAATCAAAGTGAAGCATATTGTCACCACAGTGAGTGGTACCGGTTCAATTTCTGAAATTGTAAAATCGTATTGGGAGTAGGACATTAGGCCACTGTCTTAGCTCCCACTTGGCTGACACGTTCACGCAGCGGAATGCCGGGTAATCCACACATGCGCACGTCCCATGCCAAGAATGTGCCCAGGGGCGGGCAAACAATCCATTGTTAATGACAACTCTTTGATGCCGTGACGCCGGCCTGCATTTTGCACACTGCGTCAACCTTCATCGTCGTTCCCTTTGTTTGTCGGCGAGTTTTGCCTTCAGCGCGACCATTAACGTGGCCTCGAACCTAATATTCATTTCATGTTCGCTGGCGCAGCAGTGCTTTGTGCCGACACTCGACTGGATCTGGAGCCCGAGCAGTCCAGATCTCCGTCCTTTTCTTTTTGTCATTTTGACGGCAATTTCTTTTTGTCGATGCAGGGACTGGATCTGACCGAACCCTGCGACCGGCGATGGCACACGTGACAGACTGACCGATCGCCCGTACCCGTCAGGAGTGTCCTGATCTGACCCTGCAGATCCCGACCCTTCGGCAGTGCCCTGACCTGACCGACCCCAGCCGGCTGGTCCCGGGTCCGACCCGGCAGTGCCACCCCATGCAGCGCCGATATATGCATTGGAAGCCATTTTCGCTCCAGGTGAATGAAATATTGCCGCTGCCGATTCTGATGTAGATGAGATCCTCGGTCTGCCGCGGCGCCCCTGCCCCTCCCCTCCCTCCCCAGCCGTCGACCGGCTTCTTCTCGTTATTATTCCGTCGAGTTAATCCAATCAGCGGCAATCGACTCCGGCGGCGCCCATCGGCCGGCTGCCCTCTCGTTTCCCGACTGACAATTAATGTGTAGCACGGCTGCTGCCGAAGGTCACTGGGTCGCTCAGGTCAGCGCCCGGTCAGCGCAGCGTACCGGCAAATGAACGACCGGGGGCCGGCGTCCGCCGCGCGCGACGGCCGATCGACGGGTCGATGAATTTGTGATTGGAGTTCCGCGGTGGTCCGTGTCTCGACAGGAGCTGTCGTCGGTCATTACCTATGCAGAGGCTCCTGGAGACAGGCTGTCAGCCGAGCCTCTGCAGGTCACAGCTCAGCTCAGCGACAGGGGCCGTGAAGGAAACACAGCACATTAGTCACGGGTAACACCACGCCGAGTTCAGGGGCAACATGACATAGATGTCAGGAAATTGGAGCACCAGACTTGGGAGTAAAACATACACCAGCTTCAGCAGTAACGCGGTACTGACATCAGATGTAATGTGACACGTAAGTGGGCGGTAGCTTCCGCATCTGGATAAAATGTAACACGACATCTGACTTCAGTGATGATACGGCATCACCGTCAGCGGTACAGGGCACTGGTATATTAGGGATGATACGAGACACAACCGTGGGCGCCGCCACAGAAGCACTTCAGGAGGTCCTTCCCTCCAGTCCTCACCGTCGGTCCTCCACGCCGGTCCTCCCCGCCCGGGGTCCTCCCCGCCGTGCCGGTCCTCCCCGCCGTCCTCCCCGCCTCTGGGTCCTCCCGGCCGTCCTCCCCGCCTCTGGGTCCTCCCCGCCTCGAATCCTCCCGGCCGTCCTCCCCACCGTCCTCCCCCCGCACCGGTCCTCTCTGCCTCTGGGTCCTCCCGGCCGCCGCCGACTTTTGTGGTCGGGGGCGCTGTATTGTCAGGCCAGTCCGGACATTGTGACAGCACCAGCTATTGTGCTCGTTTTGGTCCGCACCGACGCCGCGCGACTTCTCATTGACGACACATATTGACCGGGGACGTCCTCAACCTTCCCCACGACTTACGTAATGGCGGCCCAATGACAGGACATGCTGCCATCGATCGCCCCTCTTTTATGTCTTTTATTCGACATTTAGAGGGCTATCGGATCGAAAACCTGCGGATTCTCCAAATGAAAAGTCAACAAACCACCTGATGGACAAATGAGGTCACTGATGAATATTTAATCAGATAATGTCAGACGCAATGTTTGATTTTCCCTGCTATGGTCCTGCACGCTCATATCAGACTGCGCACACTTTTTTATTCTCTTTTATTTCGAAAGGAAGACTGTTTGAATTGGGTCCTGTGGCCGGCCTGAAATTAGGCTTTGGAAGATGCAATGTCAGATAATTCCAATTAGCCTGTTGACTGGCTAAAAAAGGGTTTTAATTCAGAAGGTTTGACGTGATGCAGCACACATCGTCAGTACTACGTGCTCGTTTCAGCTCGGCTTTGAAATCAAAAATTTTGCTAGCGGGTTACCTTCTGTTCTGCGGCGACATGGATCTATGGATGGATCCGGGACCATGGTTCCGGATGTTTCCTGGACCAGATGAATCTGGGTTTGGGTCAGCAGGGGTAGTAAAAATAACCAATAATCATGCGGAGCCCGATATTGAGCTCTGCCACACTGAGGTCCGGCAAAATGGGACGAGCGAAAGGACACTGAAAACACAGAGGGTTTGACAGGGGATGATTAAATATGGAAGTTCTCGCGGAAAGTGGAACTGGATAGGAACATGATGATCTTATTAGAGAGACCGCCGACTTATTTGACCTTTTTGGTGCCTAGCTGAAGTAGTCAGCATCTACCTGACCCGACCTTGAGGTAGCTGGACCCAGTCTGAGTGACCGCTGACGATCGCGCGGCGATAAAGGGCGGCCAGCAATGCCTCTGGAGCCGACCCAATATCAGATGGCTCTGTGGCTCAGAGCCGACCAACTCTCAATCGTATCGCCGGTCCCGGCTGATAGGCAATCAGCTGTGCCACCGGTGGACCGACTTCTCGGGCCGGCCGAGGACGCAGCTTCACGGCAATGGGTGCCAGCTCTACGGACAAGGGTGCCAGCTCTACGGTCAGGGGCGACAGATACACGACCAGGCCCAGGGACCAAGATACAGGACCACAGGCGCCAGATAAACGATAACGGGCACCAGCTCTCCGACCACGGGCGCCCTGCAGTTGCCTACAACCTAACCTAAGACGCCCTCTCCCCGGAATGACGTCCCTGCTAGTGACTTGAGGCCGGGACGTTAATTTTTCGACCTCAGTCCCCGGTTAACTCGTTCTTCGAAATGCCTTTCGAAAGCAGTCAACCACGGCCATGCTAATAACACGCCTGTGGTTGACTGTTTTCGGAAACCTTCAGAAATAATTGTTGGTTATATGATTGAGCTGTATAATCATCGATCCAGCATATAATGGTCAATGCTGAAAACGTTGTCATCTTAGGTGGCAAAAACTAGTTGTTTCAGTGTCACATGGATAGTGGATTGTTGCAACAAATATTAGTAATCAACTTTGGTAAAAGACGGCCCTGGGCGACGATCGAAGTCGGGTCAGTTCACCATATCTACCCTGAGGCCACCTCGGCTGAGGTCAGGTCAGCCGATGCGGGTCTCACCGTCCCCCATGCTCCCGGCCCCACCCTCGCCACCGCCCCCGCCGCTGGCACTCTGCCAGGCAGTGCCGGGAATAGGGGAGAGGGGGGGGGGGACGACGGAACAATCGAGCGGACAGTCGGACAGCGGCCGACTGCCGCGATGACAATGACAGTTTCCCGATAAACTGTATTGTGCCGATGACGAGCCGGCTAATTCGATGACGTTGATGATCGATCTGTCCGGGCCCGATGGGCGCGTCCCGTCAGTGTGATAGACGGATCGCCATAAGAATAAAATGGATATGGAGATGCTGCTGCAGACAGTCCCGATAATATGCCTACTGCGCCTCGCGTCAGCCGGATGCACAGCGGCCGATGTTTCTTTTCTTTTGGCGTACTGTCTATGTCTATGTCTGAGAGAAATGGGCAAACCTGGCTGGCGTCATGTTTAATATTTTTTTGCCAGCTTTTTGTGTGGAATAATTGGAATAAAGTTTCCGATTGAAATTGTGTGACAACAAGTTGTAGAAATACACCGAGCTTGATGCCTGACAATTGTCATTAAATTGCACTTTTGCCTATTAGCGTAACAGCGTGTCTTTTCTGTTTCAGAATCAGCGCACCGCTCTATCCGCCACACCAGCCTGGCCAGGAGCGGCGCCCCGCTGATCGGAAGCACAGCTCAGCCAATCAGGAGCCGAGCCATGCTGGTCAGGAACTGACGCTGCTCTCAACGAACCCCAGTGGCCAGCCTCAGACGTCGCCTGACCGTCCTGCCACCCGCCGTAGCTCCGTCTGGTCGTCCTATCATCTCACGTTTCCGTCTGTCCGGTGTCTGGTCGTCTGCAGTCAGCCGCCAGTCTCCCAGTGTCTGCGGGGTCACCCTGGGACGTCTGAGTCCCCCAGCGCTGACCTTGGTCAGCGACCTCGGTCAGTGACTAGGGCTTTGGGAGTGACCCACAGTGAACTGAAAGTGACCAGTGACTGGACTGAGTGGATGGCGCTGGGCTGATCAGAGACCAGTGAATTGGGCAGTGGACGACAGCGAGCAGTGATAAGTGGACCAAGGCGGCAGTGACAGTGGACTTGGGAGTGACTTGGCGACAAAAAGAGGTGAAAAGTGAACGGTGCTGTGACCAGCGAACTGAGCGGAGGACCGAACGGCAGCCATGAGGTGGCGACCGGCCGGCCGGCGCGCCGCGGCTCCAGTGGCCGTGCAGATGCTGGTTACTCTGCTGGTCCGCACAGTAGCCGCTCAGAGTCATGGCTACGACTACGACATTCTCGGCTTTCAGGATGCTAGTGACCTGGACACAGGTAAGCACAAACAGCCATAGAGCTGAGAGTGGAATTGCTTGGTGGCTTCTTGATGGCTTAGTTTATGCAGCACTTGCACGGAGTCTGATTCATATGCATATTGCATAAGAAAGCCGCTGTTAGGCTGAGCGCTTAGCAGCCTTAATTTGAATGCATATATGTATTTACATGTATTTAGTAAGGCATGGGTATTAGTAAGGCATTAGTAAGGCAGGTAAGGCATTAGTAAGGCATTTAGTAAGGCATGTATTTAGAAAGATTTCAACGAATCGACGATATGTGAAATGCTTAGAGTCGACGTAGCAATTATCAAATTGGCATCGTTCCCGTTTCGGTATGACTAAAGAATCGCTTTCTATTGACCTATCTTATCAGCACCTTGAGCTCACAAAGCTCGTGATGGATTGCATCCAAAGTTTATGGCGTGCTAATAAGGCATTAAAAACCGCGAGCAAACAACTGAATTTCGCCAGATTCATCCCACACTTTGAAGCCACGATCTTTAGTGTCCATCGGCCCACGCGTGTGCTGTATTCGTTCTCGGACGATATTTTGACGGTCATCCGAGTGAGTTTCCTAAAAATACCGCGCCCGTTAGTGGCACTTTACGGCCTGTATAACACGGCTAGCAGGGGAGCGAGCCTGCCCGGCACGGGAGGCCGTTAATTATATCCGCCATCTGCAGTATTACCCATCAAACGAGCAACATTAAATTATGCCCAACCATCCCGTGTTAGGCAGCTGATCAGTTGCATCTAAAACATTGTGTGACAGCATAGCGGACATTAATTTACATGTTGTATAGGTACTCAACGGGTAAAACCACAATAAAGACGCAACACCATAGCGTGCCAAGAATAACTCAAACAAAGCATTTCTCGACCATCTCGGTTCTTTCATCAGCTTTTATTCTGAAGTGGCCCTTTCCAAATCCTCTTGGTGGCTGCTCCAGCAGAAGTTTAAGCCGAAAGTAACAGCCCACATGGTATCGTAAATAGGCGAGCCGGTCTCTGAGAGGATTTCACATGTTGTGAAGTGCCGACCGCAGACGCTCGCTGTCCAACTCGGCGCTTTGCGACCTCCGGAGTCAGCACAAAGTTAGCGCTCCGCTACAGCGCGCCTCGAACGCGGCCTGTTTGCGTGCCGCAGCCTGAATAAATCATGAACTTTGTGTCGCAAATGCCGTCAAGGGTGTTTTCCTTTCGTGGGAGCCGGAAGCAGCGATTCCCAACAGAACAGAGCAGAGGCGCGATTAAATACGGCTGCTGTCCTGGGAGTGAGAATCTGACGCCACCGAGGGCCCGGCTCACCCCTCTCTGGCGGCGGCCTTGCGTCGCCAATATTGATTTTGGGCGCACGTCCGGCGCGGCGCGGCGGGGGTCGGGCACGCGACCGCCTTTGACTCGCCCCCCGCCCCCTGCTGGGGGCAGCTGACGCACTACTCGCAGTCCAGACGGGGGTCCAGGTATCAGATGTAGTGAGAGGGGTGCCCAGTCGGACCCCAAATACAGTGTCTGAGGACTGACATGTATGGAACTCGAAATGGCTTGAATTACTAGTGGACGCACACCAATTGGTAAGGCACCACAATGCATAAGCAAAAGTTTATTTCGCCGCGCGAAGTCGCAGCCTTTAGTGGGCTGCTGCACCGACCGGCAGAATCGACCCCTGGCCTCAGAATTGCTGACGGCAGTACTCTAAACGTTCCTGAGCTCAGTGGCGGATCTACGTTGGGGCAAAATGGGCAATTGCCCCCCCTAAACGGAAAACCTCTGGGCAAACATATCTTTTTGCCCCCCCTAAAAAACTACAACTTGAATACTAAAAATATGGTGTTTGAAAAGAAAATGTGAAATAAATGGAGGACTAGAAGGTTGTCATATTCGTGTCGTGAGCGGCCAGTGACAGCCATCAGAGCACTCGCTGCCTGTGACAAGACAGTGTTCCCAGCGGTATCAGCAATGCTGAGGATCCTGGCGACGCTACCAGTGTCGACAGCTGAGTCGGAACGCACTTTCTCGAAAGTGAACCTCACCCTGTCGGCCATACGCGCGACCATGACCGAGGAACGTCTGGAGTCGCTGATTCTGCTACAAGCACACCGCACCGAGCTACCAGCCACGTCTGAGGTAGTCAGGCGATTCCTGGATGGTGCAAGGCGTCCTCGCTGAAGGTGAGTGAGAGGTGTGGATACTTCATAAGTCCGGCTACTTATCTGACCCGGAGAGGGTGTCGGTGAGGATTAGTGATGAGTTCAGTGGGGACTAGTGATGGGTAAACAATGTGGCAGTCAGACGCTGTGAAATGTGAAGTAAAGCTGCGCTGGTGGTAGCTGTAACATGGCAGGCGAGATAGAACTGGTTGAGTGAACGATATGGTTGAGCTACTGCCGCTGTGTCACTCAGTGATGGCCAGAAAGAACGGTGTGAACAAGTGCGAGATAGGCTTCTGAGAGGAATAACGTAAAGAAGATCACCAATCGCGGCTTTTTCATGAGCCATACCGTTATCTAACGGGGACAAACACAGAAAGGCTCAGTCAGAGCTTTTGGTTTGCGAGGTGTTGGAGAAGCTCAGTATGTTGTGGGAACTTAACGCTGTTCAGTGTGATTCCGTTGGCTGTTGCGCTGTGGTCCTATGTAGTCTGTAGAAGCATCGTTTATCTCCTCTCGAAAGTAACACTTATTGTATAATTTTGCTAGCTCGCGAAGTTTAGTCCCAAAGTTAAGGAATGTTCATTGTAATTGCATCAATAAATGCAGGACCGAAAACAAATGCGCTGTTCTTCGTCTATTTCTTGTTGGGATTCTTAATCGACTGATCTCATTTTCTATTACCGCAAACAACTGTTAATACGTTTAACTACGTGGCAACCCTGAATGCGTATAGTATCGCAGGTACGCTGATGTGGCCTTTGGTCGTGGGCATTTACACATGAACCTGCTGCTGCGACCCTTATCGGTCTCCGGATACAGAAGCCCTTGAGAACCGGCGCGGGCGGACCTTTCGGACGAGGTCTTGCCGAGGTGATGCGGGAGGTAGAGGACGGACCGTCCATAGCGCCGGTGAGCTATTCTCTAACTATCTCCCGGAGTCAGGGTGGCTGCAAATTTTTTTTGCGCTGCCCTGACTTGGCCGGACTGACAAAAATGTTAAAAAAAAAAAATTCCCGAAATCCGGGGAGAAAAATAGGGGTAGCTCGTTTTTTTTTTGTTCCTAAGACTGGACGTTTGAAATTCTAGTCGACTTGCCTGGCGGCGCAATGTTTGCCCCCCCCCCCTAAACTCAAATCCTAGATCCGCCACTGCCTGAGCTCGGATTGTCTGCGGCATTTAGCTCGTTCCGCTGGGCCGGTGCGTGTCTGGCGGTGTAGGCGGGCTGCCGGAGCGCTCCGTACCGTGCCGCGTCCATCACGAGGGTATTCAGCGCTGCTGTCAGCCGGTACCGCAGCCGTAATGGTCAGCTGCAGAGAGCACATCCTGGTGCGGCCGCGCTGCCACACGCGGACCCGGCGAGCAGCGGATGAGGCAGGAAGACTACCACACGTATACTCGGCGAGCGGCGGAAGGAGCCGCACTGTCGTGTCCAGAAAGGCGATATTGGACGCTGCGGGGGGGGGGGGGGAATCCCGAAAAAGTTACTCCAAATTAAAAAAACTCATCGAATTTAACTAGCTGCGCATTTAAAAGCAAAACTTGTGTCACAAAAGTTAACTTTTCTTTGTTAGCCTTAGCTGTGTTAACTTTTCCTTTTATTCGAGAAAAACGCTAATTTTTCATTGATTTAGGCAGAATGATGTGTGCCCTGAATACCCCTGAATCCGCCAAAGGATGAGGATTCTCCCGCCACACGGACCTGTCTGATAACGGACAGGGGAGCCAATTCGGGGACTTCTGCCGACACACAGAGCAGTGGACAGGGGCGTCTGCCGTCGAACGCAGTGTGTCGGGAAGGGGCGCGTGACGCTGCTGAGCCGCTTCCACACGGGCCAGTGCGCTGAATTAATCCGCCAATCTACGCTTCAAGGCGGAAACATCTGCTGCAGTAGGGGCGCTTATCGAAGCTAAGCAGCTGCAAACAGCGCAGAGCCCGCCGACTGATATTCGGAGCTGTCGGAGGATTCGGACGCTAATTTGAGTTTTGCTCGGAAATCCGCGGCCTCTTGAGATGATTGCGTAAGGGCAGCCACCGCGTGGCTTGTAACACAGTCCTTTTTGTTACAACCAAAGTAACAACCTCGTTGGAAGCATTCGAAATTGATGCTCGTATGTGTATGAAATTTTATGTTGTCATCAATATGCGTGCAGATGATACTGCCGGATAAGCATGTGACTTTGGCGATCCCAAAGCCCCTGACGGATGTCCGGAACGCTCAGCTTTTACCGGGTTAACAATCGTAGTAGCAGAATTATTAGCTTCAGCATTTCGATTGTGGCACACGCAAACGTGAGCGCACTTAAAAACATGCCCTGCAGAGTTGCACGTCATTTGAGTTTGCGTGGACTGAAGAGCGCTCCCCGAGGCTCTGTCACACCGCCGTCTCCGATACAGGCCTGTCGCTGCACCTGTGTGAGCGGATGACTGCATCTTCCACACTACCCAGCTCTGCCCGGCAGGGAGCTATAGAGAGAACAGCTGTGTGACCCGCCGGGGGGTCAGACTGATGCTGATTGGCTGATCTTTGAGTCAGTGCTGACCCTGATTGGCTGATGACTGAGCCAGGGCACACGCTGATGAACTGGAAACTGAGATGTTTAGAGAAGTGTAAGATGCAGGCATGCACATTGCGGAGATTTCTACACGAATCTTCACCTCACTCAGCAAAAAGAACTATTGTAAAAGTGCCGAATATACCGCAGTCCAGATATCCTTGATGCATCACAAGTCACTGATCTGTGGCAGCTGGCTCAGCTGTTTTCGGTTCAGCTGCAACGGCTGCGACTGTCAGAATCAGTGGTTGACATTTCTCGCATCGCCTCGTAACAAATGCATTAACATTGG